TTCTGATGACTGCCTCCTGGTCCAAGGATAGGTTTCTCATTAGCACGATCAAGTGTTCTGGGATTCCCATTCTTCTCAAAGTCAGCCATAGTTTGTTATGATCCACCCAGTTAAAAGCCTTTGCACAATCAATGAAACACAATGTTTCATTGAGGGATGAAATATTTAAGTTAATTTCCCCTTTGCTAGTGATCTTTTAGGTTCTCTCTTCTGGAATAAATTTTGATAACTATGGCCATTGACATCCCAGCTCCATGCTCCATGGTCACCCACCTGCCGGAAGAGACGTCAGTCTTCATATAGACTTTTCAAGTTTATTCCCCCACCTTCCATCTCCCCCACTTCTTTTAACCAGTAGAAACTTCACCTGTTTCTTAAAGAACACCATGCTCCTGTGTAAGTGGCTGTGCCAGGTGCTGCATGGTGCTAAGAATGAGGCTTTATTACACAGGTCTCTTGCCAGTCTTACAAGGTAGATATTTGTGCTTTATCACTTAGGATGCTGGGCTCAGATGGGAACAGGTAGAGTAAATGGTGAAAAGGAGCCTGCTGACTCCACCTCTTGTTAGGGAAAACTGAAGGCCACTGTAAGTATGTGCAGCAGACATGGCTCAATACAGCCTTCCCTGGGAAGGGCTATGCTGGAGGTATTGTCTGTCCTCCCTCCACCTGGGCCAGGCAGATATGTCTGAGCATTTGCATTTGTCTGTGACCTCTCCTAGGCATCACTCTTATCTCCCAACAGCCACAGAACACATTTTCATGCACGTCATGGCAAGGCCAGCAGTTCTCTCTTTTCCTCTCCTCAATGAACTTAGCTCAGCACTCACTCCACTTGCAAGATGGAGACAACTCCATTCCAACAAGGAATGTCTGTCACAAAACTTCTGCAGAAAATACAGTAATTACGGACTAGAAGAAGACGTGATTTTTTGTGCTCTCTCACCTAGGTATGGCTTCTATTTGCAGGGAGATCAATTGCTCTAATAGGGATCATGGCTATGATCTCGCCCTATCCTACTTGCAATCTTTATAGTCCTTCACCAGCAGGTGGTGCTACCTGAGCTTAAACCTGAACTAGGATGGATCTTAGCGGAAAGCAGAGAATACCAGAGGCATGTCTATCTGTGTCTCATGGACTATGCAAAGGCATTTGACTGTGTAGATCATAACAAACTGTGGCTGACTCTGAGAAGAATGGGAATCCCAGAGCACTTGATCGTGCTAATACGAAACCTATACTTGGACCAGGAGGCAGTCATCAGAACAGAGCACGGGAACACTGCATGGTTCAAAACTGGGAAGGGCGTACGCTAGGGATGCATCCTATCTCCATACCTTTTCAACCTGTATGCAGAACAGATTATCCGAGAGGCTGGGCTCTATGAGGAGAAATGTGGTGTCAAGATTGGTGGACGATTTATCAACAATCTGCGTTATGCAGATGACACAACCCTGCTTGCTGAAACTGAAGAGGACCTGAAGCACCTGCTG